AATAAATTTTAGTATTTTATCCGATCTGTTGTCTTACGCATTATTGCTGAATGATGAGAAACGTTCAGGAAGGTCAGCGCGAGAAACGTTCTACCGCTGCTAGAACATACTTATCCGATTTCTTCGAAGGTTCAATCGGACTCCAAAAATCGAATTGCAGGCAGTCGTTTGGCTCCCTTGATTCGTATAGCTTTGCCGCACATAGATTTTAGGACGTTTACCTACTGTAGCACATTCCTGGCATCCGTTTGTCGGCGGCTACCACAACACAAAGCTTTGGTGGAATTAAAGGAACCACACGTCCCGTGCCTCGTCAAATTTATCCCTTCCCGTAGTGGAAGCTGTGCACTCTGTTGAAGTTGGCTTTGCGTTGAGGAATTAGGAAAATCGTTCACGTGCTGCCACATGTACGCCCCATTGCACGGACCTTCTTTTCATACTCTCGATTCTTGGCTAAAATCAAGTCGCGGATTGCTAACATTTGTGCGTTCCCTTTGTAATTAGCCCTTTGTTCCCTTTGTAATTCCCTTTGAATTTGAATTAATTAAAAAAATACAGTTGTTATGGGACTCACGTAGTTTGCACTCTATTATAGCTCCAGCTGTGTCGCGTCTTTTCGATCATTACATCCTATTATGCATTTTGGCGCCTTTTCTTTGGTTGAAGTTTTGACGCAAGATTTCCACCCTTCGATTTGCATACTGCACGCTGATTGGCTGCAAAATCTAATCTATTGGTTAAGGCAGTATCACTTCTTTTGAGGCATTTTTTTGTTTGTATCAGCCCCATGATTTTGAATTGATTCAATTTTTGTCATTGTAAAATTATTGTCATTGCCGCTGACTCGGAACGCTTCCCATGCTGGGTAACTTGCTAAGTAATATGCGATGTCAATTTTCGACCCCTGCATATGTTCAATTTCAAAATCAAACGGAACTATTCGATCAATCCAGCAGGCTAGCCTACTAAACATAATGTTTTTCCTCTTGTCATTTCCGTCATAAGCAAGGTTACTTAAGTTTTGTGGTCTGTCACTACTGTAAAAAGTATTCCAAAAAGGTAGTTTCTGTAGTATTCGGCTCCCATATGACAGCCAGCATTTCGAGTACCTTAATTGAATATTTCATACCGCGTTTAGAAATCCGACTGCAAATCAGATAGGCCTCAAAAGATTCGGGGCTAAGCTGCTCAAAAACCGCCCGCGAATCCATTATAGTTTGCATCGCATGCTATTCATATATCCTTATGGACATCGAAAAGTTCAAGTTCAACGACATTAGCAACTGGCTTTTTAATGTATCAAAAGCCGACTGGCATTCAGTTGTCTATATAAAATCGTTTTTCTTACTACGTAAGGGAAGTATCGGAGTGGAGTTATCAGCTAAAGCTGGCAAGTATTTGTGGAGGCCGTGAAATGACACAATTAAATACTTTAGTTGAGATGGTGTTTTTGGCGAGCCTAACTTTTGATGGGTTGAGTTTTAGTGGCGTCTGAAGTAATGCCAAGGTTTAGGGCCATAATGAGTTTTGGTGGCGTCTGAAGTTTTGGTGGCGTCTGAAGTTTTTCCAGTTTTAGGGCCATAATTTTTGTCATGTTTTCTCAAGATTTTCTCGATATGCGCGCTATGTTGCACTTCGTGTCCCTTCGATAGAAGTAAAATATCAACTATAAAGTTGTGCGCGCAACGGAAGTCGCTGAGGCTCGCGTCTATTACTTGTTAAAACACCTCTGACATTGTTGTTAACCCGTAGAATCCCGTTTTCAAGCTTTAAACTGCTGTAGATCTTCCTCCCACAAACGAGATTTTGAAATATATACTTGTATCATCATTTAAAGGTAGTTGCCTGTATGCTTACACAAGGTCCATTTCAGTGAAAACACTTCGCCCGTTCTTTTCGCATATCGTTCGCCCGACGACATCCATAACTTCTTCGATGTTCGGCTTTTGATATTTATTACTTTGGACTTGCTTATTTAGCTCCCTTGATTCTTAGGCTAGTTTCACCGAGCCGTCTTTCTTTACTGTTATGACTATCGGAGATACGATTTATTTATCCGGGCATTATTTCCATATTTTCAATATATCTTTGGTTTAGTAGCTTATCGATTCCCTTGGCCACGTTATCCTGAAAAGTTATTGGTACTCGCCTACTCTTGTTGAACTGGAGTTAAACTCTTACAATTAAACTCGCCTGGTATTGGCAGTGACGTATATGCTCCACCCTATTAAACAAAATACTGAATTGCTTACTGAAGTGTTTTTGCCAGTCATCCTGCTGTGCCACCTGACTCTCGGTAGCTGATCGTACTTGGATGATCATCACTTCATCTTCCACTGGTGTTTGTATCAGCTTCAGCCCTAATCATCTTCAACAGATTGTTTCCATTATCCCTGATTTTGTCATCTTCTGGACCCAATGGCGTCAAGCTCACATTGTGTGCCCCAAGGAACGATTGAGTTCAACGATCGTGATTATAAAGAGCGGAAAACCGCTATCGATCCATGCTTCTGTCTTTCCGTTTTTTTCCAAGGACAGTTTGGACTTAATAACTTTCATTCCTCCTTCTTTTTCTCGCAGATTGACATCCCGATATAATCGTTAGGGCTATCAGAATCGCGCAGTATACTCCGTGCTCTTCGTTTACCCAGCCGACGGACTTCTCGTGTTACCATGATGCGTCTTCGTGCTCTGTAAAATTTTCTCCGTCTGCGTCTTTCCCATGTTTAATGTTCACCCGGCATCTGCTTGCGGCAGGTACTTCTCCGGCAGGTACGCTCGTAATGTCCTGTTCTCTTACAGAAATTGTATGTTGCATTCAGCGCTGGGCATTTCCCGGTGTGTCAGGTCTGAATTCACTTTAGTTGCAGTTGAAATTTTTTTTGTCGTCCAGCCCGTTTCCGCCGCGACAAATGCCTCTGTATGATCCCCTTCCGCCCTGTTGGAGTGGCCGGCGATATGCACCTCAGATTGCGCTCACCGGCTCCGTTTTTGTTTGCAATGCACGCTGGCACTGCCGCCAGGTTTCCGCCCGCCACCTTGTAGCTATTCGCTCCTAAGACAAAGCTATCCGGTACACCTCATCTGGAGTTTTGATGGAGCGGCATATTCCCGTGTGGGCGTGCTTTTTTGACATTTTGAAAATGGAAGCATCTCGTATTCTGCGCTCCAGTGTCCCTAATTTGCACCGCCCTGCCAAGATACTAAGCACCGAATGAAATATCTCCCACAATTCGCTGTCTCGTTGTTTCGCTCATTTCGTTTTTTCTTACAAACGTCCTCGAGGGCGTCCATTACCCTTGAATATTGTGTCGTTGCAAGGTCTAAATGGGGCAGGCGGTTGTGTAGCTTATCGTACCCCCTTTCGCAATGTAAATTGACCAGGGAACAAACCCATGTTTGCAGTTACCCCCGAGGTAAACAATTCATCCAGTGTTCCAAAAGCGTTGGTAGCTCTGTGCACTTATTCGACCAGAATGCCGGTATTCGTAGTGGGTTTTTTACCGCCCCCGAGCCGTTTCTTATTCCAAGCGTAAATTTGATAGCTATAATCGTCAAACTGTAACCAATTATCATCACACACCACTGTTTCAGAACTTCCTTAGCTCAAAGGCAAGATGGTAAAAACTAATCAAAATGGCCGACAGGCAGCTCCAAGGGTGTCAATGAAAAAACTCCAACTAGATATTGTACTAAAATAAACATATGTTATATCTTACTTTTTTCTTTCAGTCGCGGCTGCATTTGAAACAAGTTAGCTATATTTTACCAGTTGATTGCACAAAAAAAACAACTTCAAGATCGGCAGCAATATGAAATTGGTGTCTTAGTTTGCTTTGTGATGTTGTTGTGTTAGGTTGCGCCTTATCAGGTGAAAGGTTTTACTGGCTATCGCTGACCGTGGGTCGACCTAATGGGTGCCAGTCAGCGTCGATTCGAAAACCATTCCGAGATCTTTAAATTTTCCTGATACTTTTAAAATATACCCATTTTTTTATACCTTTAACCATTTTGTTTTGAACTGGAATTCTTTATCCAGAAACATTACATTATTAATGAAACTAACGCAATATGTTCTCTGGAAGGGCTGTTAAAAGAGCATTTCAGCTCATCGCCTATCACACTGGAAAGATAAAAAGAAGAGGACAAGTAGAAAGTTGAGGTGGTCACAAATACAAAAACATTTTCGTAAAAAATCTCATTATCTGTAATGCAATTTTTGCAAAATTTTTGAGGAAAATTTTTTAATTCGTTTGTTTATAGACTTTAAATTTTTTTTGGGGAATTAGATGAGACTTTATCATTATATTATATGCTAGAGTTAGGTGCCTTTTTAGAGATTTTTTCATGACTGTACTGTGCTTGAATTACAAGTGACACGACGGTGTGTTATATTTATTTTTTTCGTTAACTCATCCCCTTTTTGGTGTCTTAAAACTTGAAAAAACTACTTGAACAGTTCATTCAGGTAAATTTCGTACACATGCGTCTGTCAATTGCAAGTCATGCGTAAACTTTCATGCCATATAGACAGTGAAATTGAACACAACGATTGAATATAGAAAAATGCAATTCAGGGTGGAAAAAGGTATCTATCTCTATTAGTTCAATTAAAACTGAATTTAATATGCACCATCGTAAGATATAGTGAAAAATAGCTGTGCCTACATTGCGCACGGGTGATAATGTGGGAATCGGTATTTGCCGAAAGACAAGATATCTGCAGAAATTTTTTTTTAAATGCTCCAGCAACGCGAGGCGAGATAACAGTTTTTCTCTCCAGCTAAGCGTCTCAATGAAGACGAATATCTTAGTAGACTGGGGAAAGATATCTACTTCAGTTTTTTGGAAAAAGATTGGCCTGGTAAAGGTCGACCCAGTTTTATTTAGCGTTTCCCATCCTTTTCAAGTCTCAATTTCCTAAATGAATTGAGCGAGGATATTTCGATAATTTTCTTTTCTTTCTTCGGTTAAAACAAAAAAAAATTAAGTTAGCGATAATTTAAATTAATTCAGAGAAAACAAAATTCAATTCTGTGAAAATTAAAGTAACGAAAGATAAGCATGGAAACATATGCGAACGAAAACCAAAATATACACATTCATCATTTTAAATGCATGGAATGCTACGATACTTTCAATATAAACTCATAACTTTCAGACTGTACTTCTGATTAGAGTAAAGGTTAAAATCAGCTCTCCGATTCGAGTTTTTTCCAGTTTTATATCAATTTCATTCTAAAATTCAGCTTGATTCGAAGCAAGTGACATCACTTTTTGTATTTTGGGGGTTTTAAACTGGCTCACTGCTGTAGAATTCAAAAGTTTAGGTCGAACTCTGCCAATTGTGGAGTTCGGATTGAAAGACGGGTTGCTCACTATGACATTGCTGTGAGTAGGGTTGCTTTGCATTGAGCCGATCATGTTTGTAGAACTCAAAACCGATGATGAATGTTGCTGGTTTAAAAACCGGACAGATGGGCCACTGAGACCCTCAGAGGAATTCGGCTTGGAAGCACTGTGTAAGTTAGGGTGAGGCCTGGTGACAGATGGAATCACCACAGAGGTCACGTGGGTCCATCCAGGTGTGATCGCAGACGATGCAGATGAAGGAGTTGGGTTGATTTGGGGCTGGTTCAAAATGGGGATTGGGCTCGGGTTGGGCTGTGACTGGGGCAGGTGTGAACAGGTGGCAGAATGGGTGGCCCAGTGTAACTTCTGACACTCACAACTGCAGTAGCTGGTGTTCCAGCAACAGTTGTAGAACGCTTCTTTTTTGCACACAGAACACTAAATTGAAACATAACTAAAAAAACATAGCCAACAGACAGTTGGAAAAGAGTCAGTGCGCTCAAAAATACAGAAAAAAAATTGTGAAAGACTTTTGTGAAATTTCGAATTTCAAATAAAAATGTATGGCTTTAAAGCTCAATGAGCATCAAGAGCAATGTATAATGGACGTTTTTTCATAAAATTAACCTAATTTAAGACAACTGGATTGATTATTGAGAAAAGTTTTTAATCCGCTGGAAAAACTAAGACTTAAATTCCTTTTAAAAATTAAAATTAAACTAGAAATCGATTGCGTATTTTCTCTACATACTAGCACGTCATTCGTTCCCGAAATTAGATCCGGCTTTTGCGCCCTGGCTATCGTCTCCACAGCTTCCCGCTTTATGAATAAATTACACAGTGGTTCACTATATTTTAATAATTTGCTCCTTTTCATAATCAAGGGAATTCAAATCCAAATCCATGCATTGCACAAAAGGGCAAAGCTGCACTTCGTAAACACAAGCGAAAAAACAGAAAAAAGCAAATAGCAGACAAGCCATGAAAGGAAATCAACGTGATCAAATCTTTAAAATACAAACATGGCCAACAAACTTTTGGAAAAGTGTCAGTGAACGAATGTAAAACAGAAAAAAAATGATTTCGAAGAAAAAATATCACGTTAATATTTGACTCTTTCCCAGCTGATTTCCCGTGGAATAAATTTTAGCTATCGAGTTTTCTCTAAATAAGTTAATTTTAAGAGCAAAGTGCCAATTAAAAAAAAATCAGCAAGGCCTATATAAGAGTCTTCACTACGTCAATTACTCTTAAAACTCTTGAAACTCACTTAGCTCTGAAAATTAACCTATTTAGAGAAAACTCAAGCAAAAGCTAAAATTTTTATTCCATGGGAAAATAATTGGGAAAGAGTCAAATAAAAACAAGCAAAAAAACGCCAAAAAATAGCTTCAAAAGGGTCAAAAAAGCAACAACATAAAAATAGTAATGAGTTTTGAAAAACAAATGGCCTCGAGGAATCCAACGGGACTCGGACCTCAGACATCCCAGTTTTCAGGTCGATTGTCCTACCCTACAAAAGCCACTCACGCTTACAGAAGCCAGACACTCGTCAGTCATAAAATGGAGAAAACATGCTCTGAAACTGCCAATGCTACAAAACAAAGGTGCCCTCAAATGAGCATCTTTAATTGCGGGTTAGGCTGAAAAAAATTGGAATTCGCAATATATGACACTACGCACAGAAGCTCGCTCAGTGAAAAAGAATGATCGCAACATGGCATCGTCACGATTGCTCCTACTGCCCTTTTTCATCATCATCATTGCGGCTTTATCCCGCTCATTTTTAGCTTGTTTTTTGTTTTATGAATTAGAAATTTATAGCTCATTTTCCATCTCCCGTCTCAGAACCAATATCGAGTACTCAGTGATAAAATTTGAGTTGTCGATAAAATAATGAGACCAAGGAGCCAGCCTCAATCAAACTTGGAATGCTATAAGTGCGAATAATTCGCCGCCTATTTCAAATTAATTCGCGCTTACGCGCTGAGCATCATAGAATTTGTAAAAGCCTACATAAATTAGTACATAATGGCAAATCTTAATTACCCAGAACTCCACAAAAAACAACTACAGGCAGGGGCGGATTTAGGGGGGGGGGGACGCCCCCCCCCCCCCTCAGGGATTCGAACCCCTGCCAACCCAAAGGGTCCCCCCTTTGGTACTTTTTAAGAAATCCATTTTTGGCCGATCGACCCTAAAATATTTCTAAAGGCGCATTTGGCGCCAATATATACTAATTTTGAGGGGGAGCGCGCGCAAAAAAAAACGCGTTTTTTTTTTGTCAAAATTTTCCAAAAAGTGCCCAAAAACGGCTTTTTTGACCTGTTTTTTCAAAAATTGCCTGCGGCGCAGAAAATTTGGCCAAAACAGTGTCTTTTTACCGCTTTGGCAGAGCTCGGAAAATCAATCTGATCGACCTAAAAAAAAAAAGGTCGTCAAAATTTTCGAAAATTTTTTGAAAATCCGCCCCCCCCCCCTCGAGAAAATCCTAGATCCGCCCCTGACAACAGGTAAAAAAAAACGATTTACATGAACTAAAGGCTTCAACGTCTTTATATGAGCATAGAAACGTTTTACTGAATTTTTTCGCCGAAATTATTCTGACTAAGAAAACCACCCTGAGCATAAATATTCGGAAGAACAACAAGTACCAAAAAGGTTATTTTTACCCAGTCACCTGTTCTCAAAATTCTCTGTTCTGTCCTCCGTTGGATTGAATATTAATTAAATATTATATGAAATTGTCCGCATACCCATTGGCGGCTTTTGATTTCTTTTACTGTCTTGTCTTTGAACTTCTCAAACTCGTGTTTGAATGCTACCTCGGCCCCGTACTTGGCCTCTGCCAAGAGGTACTCGTAGAACCCACACAACTCCATCACATCAACCTTCTTCTGTTGTTTCGTCAATTGCAGCTCAGCTACAAAAATACAAGTTGATTACCATGATAAAACATGCCAACCGAACACCATGCCAACAACGAAAAAAGAAATTCATTTCTCCAAATCATTTCAAAGTCATAAAATTCATGAAAAATAACAGCAAATGAAATAAAAGCAGCTTACTTTACAAAAAAAGACTCAGAAGGGACAGACAACGGGACTAATGTCCACTTTACAGTCTAGTCTGCCTATGACAGACAAAAAGTTTCAATGAAGGAAAGTGTCAATGAACTCAAAAAAAACAGAAACATTCAAGAACCTTTTATATTATAATGGACTTTTTTTTGTAAAAATAACTCAATCAGAAAAAAACTGAATCAACAGTATTTTTTATTACGCCTTCACGCGGAGTTTGCCTTCATTTTAACAAAGGAAATGAAATGAACTTAAAAAGAAATCAGAAGTCAAACAACGAAAAACTATATTTGAGCCTGAACAAATTTTAAGACTTTTCCCGAAAAAAATCACCAACTCTTTATAAGACTGATTGAAACGCAAAGACACATTAATGGTTTTACTCTGGATGTTATAACATGATCCTCAAAAATCAATATGATCCTCGATGCAGCAATCAATTACCTTCAAGAGACGCAATTTTCCTTTTCAGTTCACCACTACATTCAGCGGAGTCTTTGTCTGAAGACACTTTAGTCGTAGGGGATTCCACGTTATTGTTGATGCGATTCGAAAGAAAAGACTCCACCATTGTTTGCAAGGAATCATTGAGCTAAAATAAAAAATCTGGTCTCATTTTAAAACCATTTCCAGCAGGGTATTTTCAAAGCTGAAAACTTTTAGTTGAGGTTGGCATACCTTTTCAGTTACTTTGTCAACTATTTTTGCTTCGGCCAGACTACCCTGCAATTGAGCCTCGACATTAGGAGTGCCTTTTACTTCCAAGCGGGGTCTGGTCGGAGGTTGGGGTCCCAAATCAGGTGAGTGCCTAAGTCCTCCCTCCTCATTCAGTCGCTTTCGCAATTGACTGCTGGTGGTATCTTGTTGCTGTAAAGACGAAACAGGAATCACAAACCCTCCAGACGAAACTGCAATCTGATGGTTCGTTGTAATTCCTGGACATGTGTTCGCATTCGGAGCTCCAAACACGTTCATCATATTACCTCCATTTTGGTCAAATCCTAGTTGAGGTACATTGGATGTCCAGGTTTGCTGATTACTTGAAATAGGAACAAAATGAGCTGCAGGCATATTTGGTGAAATTGGTTCCAAACTTTGCCGAATTTGCATGTTCAACCTCGACGTCGAAGGCATTCGATGTGTTGGACTATCTGTGAAAGAAAACTTGTCTGCGTTCGAATTGTTATTGCCTTGAACGAGAGGACTAATTTGTTTCGAGAAAGAGGAAGGAGGTTGCATAGCAAGAATATTGCATTGGACCATGGTAGGCAGTGAGTTCTTACGCGCTGCCAGCCATGAATTCACACTCTTACTCGCATGAGGCATCCCTGTTGGTGATGCAGGGTAACTACTAGTGCTCGGAGCCAGAAAACTGCTACTGCTGTTTCCAGTGACATTAGTATTTGACACTTCCTTTTTGGAATACCGATCTTGGACCACACTGACAATTTTGTCTAAATCATACGTTTGATCAGCGCTGCTCGAAGAATTTTCATCGTCCGAAGTCCAGTCTTTTTCCAGAGAATGGTTGAAAGTGTTCAGGTCGGAAGAGTTGTTAACTGTTGTTGTCAATAAATGGAATCTCATGTCAAAATTATCCACTTCGAAATCGATGTCTTTCCCGCTTCTCGAATAAATTGAGTTCCGCGTCCTCTGGAGACTAGGACTTCTGGCAGAAGTACTACTAGACGATGTTCTCGGAATGTCCAGCGAAAGATTCTGGAACGTTCCGCTATTATCCAGAGGTTCTTCTTTGATGATCACTTGAGCAGGAAGTCCTTCTGCATCAGATTCCAAATCTTCATTAGCTGAATCGGCTGATGATTCCGGTTCGGACTTGATATACATTTTTGAATCATCGAAATTGTACTCAAAGTTACTCAGCCTTCTAGTTCTGGATGGTTGGACTCTGCTGATTTTGTTCTCGCCTGTAAAACTGGTTCGATGAGGTGAAAACTTGAAATTTGTGACCAGCTGGAGGTTGTCGCAGTAGTCTTTAAGTTCCTCCATTGACACTTCGAATGCTTTCTGATTATGTTTGACAGCTTCAGGGAGAGATTTGGACATCCTGAGTACTTTGTTTTTGGGTAACCATGCCCTGAAGACAGAAATCATGAAAGTTATGAATGCATTGCGAAGTTTAAAATTTTTCTCAAAATCAGGAGCAACTTTAGGGGACGCCCCCTTCCCCCTCAAGGATTTGCTGTGGTATTATTTTATTTCATCCAATCTAGTTCGACCAAACATAAAATTTTTCTGAAGGTGCCTTTGGCGCCAATATATACTAATTTTGAAAAGGGGCGCGCGCCAAAAAATGCGATTTTTGGTCGACATCCTCCAAAACGGCGTTTTTGACCTGTTTATTCGAAAATTTTGAAAATCAATTTGGTTGATCTAAAAAACGTCAAAAAAACAAATTCCCCTCGAGAAAATCCAAGATACACACTTGCTCAAAATATCATTTTTTTCAAAATATAAATAAGATTCGTTTATAATACAGAAAATGCATTAATTGAACATAGCATCTGTTTTTTGAATTACTATTGCTGGAGTAAATTTCGATATTGCTTGGACATACAATTAATAGAGAGAAATCGAGCACAGACTGTTAACTGTACCTGTCGTGGTCTCCGAAGAAGAGCACTTCCACCTGCATTGCTTTCTCCCGAATGACCTTGGCTGGCCAGTAGGGGTATCCGGACACTTTGGCCCACACTGGCTCGTGGGGTGCATCTCTGCACAGCTGGGAGAAGCCATTGGACAATAGATGATTCGCATAGCAGTTCGCACACACTTCTATTATCTCCACCTGAAAAAGCACCATACGCATCCAATGCCCATAGAAAAACTGACACTCAACTTTCAAATCAACGTCAGACTCAAATGAGAAACTGACGATTGGAAAAAGGTTGGAAGAAAATCCAGTGCCATTTTTTTAATTTAAGTTTTTTTTTTCAGATAAATTGCATCACATATTATCACAGAGACAAAGCGAAGCTTTACGCAACTTGCGGTAAGTCATCAATCACAAACATAGCATGCTAAGCAAGCCAAAAAACGGGCAGAAAGTATAAAGTTTTCAAATAAGAATTTCAAAGACCTGCTTCATCCAAAAATTTCATGACATAGCCAACAGAGAGTCGGTTATATGGGTGACAGGACAAAGTATCTCATACAAAAGTATCATACTACAAAATATCCCAATGGACACAATAGCCCATGCCATTATAGCTCACATCAATTGAAATGTCCCATAAAAGGTTAAAAACTAAATTATGATATAAATTACCTAGGACTGGTGCATATCTCTCTATCACCAATCAAAAAAAATCTCAACTGAGCTGCCCCAATTAATTAACTTGAAACGCCATAGCGATAAAGTTGATGGTAAAAGACTCTTCTCTAGAGATTAAGTTTTGCTTTTCAACCTGTTAATGGATTCATAATTGAGAAAACTTTGATAATGAAACACAACAAAAAGATTTATCATTACTCACCTAGCGCTATTACAATGAAAGTCAACAAGACAAAACTTCTCTACGGCCAAACTCAACCAGGCAAAATGTTGCTTATCTTGCTTGGATGGACACGAATTCACTAAAGAAGGTAACAAGAAATCTATCACTCAATGGCGTTGTGCAAAATAGTGTTCCATAAATGTCCAATTACTCTAAAAACTTGCAAACAAACCATTTTTTCTTTCAATCACGAGCATTGCCAAGAGTTTAACCCTGGTTGCGTAGAAGCAAGGCAGATAGTTAGTCAATTAAAAGAAACAGCAAAACCTCAAATCGATCCTGTAAAAACCAAATGATAGCAGCTACCCTCAAGTCAATGAACGATAATCTGGCGATTCAGCTTTCTTTTCCTTCAAGTGAAGCCTTGACAAGAAACCTCAGAGTGAACAAAACCACTCGAAATAAATTCATCGACAGACCTTTACTTCGACATGGTGGAAAAGAGGACAACGAGAGATTCATTATTCTAGAAAACATGGATAATTTGAGAGACCTTCGCGTTCGTTGCAAAGTTTGGCTTTGTGACGGATTTTTTAAGATACTTCCATTTCAGTTTTATCAATTGTACACAGTATATTTCCAGATTGGCGGATTTTATCCCCATGCATTTACGTTTTGCTCAGCAATAAAAAAGAGTCCACTTGCAACAGGTTCCTTGAAGCCCTGAATAGACTTTTTGGAAACCCGAAAAGGTTCTCAAGGACTTCGGAAAAGCTGTATTGAATGCAATTTCGTTCCTGTTCGAAACTGAAATCTAAGGTTGTTATTTTCATTTGTGCCCAAGTTTTCATCGCGAACTTTCAGAATTAGGTCTGAAAAAAACATACTAAATCAATGCTAAGCTAACTTTAAGCTTAAAAATGAAAAATGATTCCATCTCCAAGCTTGCTTCATCTCTCAAATGTCGATTCTGCGTTTCTTCTAGAGATCGACACAATTTGCGAAACTACCGATGAATTTGACGTTCCAACACATATCCTCGAAAAAATTGACGATTTCGCATCTTATTTCCAAAAAACTTATACTAAAGGCGAAACAATTGGTCGACAACGGCGTGTTACACCTTTATTTCCCTGAAACTCGAAGTATATCTGCAGGAAAATCAAGCACTTTGACACTCAAGAATTGTTTAAGATTGACAATATTTTCTTAGTTATCAAATATAAAGAAAACTGGATCAAGGGTATTTATTTTATTCCGCTGGCAATTCAGCAACTTAAAGTCCGCTTTTGAAAGTCGAAGTCATTCACGTTTTAGGTGTCTTTTACACGTTTAATGTTCCGCAAGGATGTTTGCAAGAAAAATCGAAAAAGGAGACCAACTGGAACTAAAAGAAAAATCAATTAGCAAAAAATGAAACCAAACCGCAAAAATCAAATTGAGCAAGAAAAAAATTAATACTATTCCTTGAAAAAGTCATCGAAACCTATTTAAGTAAAAATACATTCATTTTTGTTGCACGATTCGAAAGAATTTTGAATTTGATTCGAATGAAACTCATTTTAGCGACAGTTACAAAGCCGGCAATACTAGGCTAGCTGATCTTAGCGCTGAAAAACATGATGTCTTAAAAGCCTGGGCATAAGCAATTTTGACACTGGTTTATAAAATTTATACACAGAGGCGAAGCTGGGCTTCTCAAACACTTGCGAGAACACGATCTAAAAGCAGCTCTATCAGGTGAAATCAGAAAAACTAGAAATAAGCCTGGAATTCTCGAATTAGCAAAAACTCGCCTGCGTGTGTGATTCGAATCTTCGACCTACTGCAATCCAAAAATTTTGAGCCTCAGGCACTAATCACTTAAGCTTAACAACCGACAAACACTAGTCACAAAAAAAGCAGCTATGTATGCTAATAAATTACAAAGAGGAAAAGTGGCACCAAATACAAATAGACTCAATTTTGCAAACAATAATTTGGGATATAAAAAACTGAGGCCATCCAGACTAACTTTTCATGTAACAAATTGCAAAGCATAAAACCGTATAAGTACGAATTATTTTATTCATAAAACTGCGAGATATGATGAGTTAGAAAATTTCTGAAATCGAGTTTTTATTATTGTTATGTTGTTTGAAACAAATCTTACTTTTTAAAAAAGCATCAACTGTGTTAACTTATTATTATTCGAAACTCAAAGCAGTAAAGGTGTAAAGCTGTCCCAAAAGTGGCACATATATTCGCGACTTAAGTGGGAAAAAAAGAAGGTTCGTACTAATACACTCACTTAGCAAGTGTAGACACCCCCCTTAGCATGAAAATATTTTTTTTTTGCCCACGCTCAATGGCTCAGAAGGATCAATTGAGCAATCTCCCGTCAGCAAACGCAAGACGTCAGCAAACGCAAGACGTTAGCAAACGCAAGTACATGGTTAATGTGTTCGTAGCACGCAATCAAGTGACCGAGTGAAAATTATTTTATATGAGTTTCGAGAAAAAATCGAAAAAGAAAAAATCGAATTATTTTTTCAAAATATTTTTTTGCAAATTTTCATTTGTGCGACCATGGCCTCATCGAGCAAAGCGACTTACCAGCGTTCGTGCTCTAGCCTTATATCTGAATATCAAAAACTGTTCTCCGCAGCATTTAAAATTGCTGTTTTTCCAATTAAAACAGAAAAAAATGGGCTTCATGCGACCCAAGTCGCTTAGTTTTATTGATTCTTTTTTCACTCTGAATGTAACTTTTGAGCTTTGATATTGTAAATTTTGGCGTTCCACTATCGCTCACGAAGCTGATTTATGATTTCGGGGGCTATTCTCATGCGCGAAGGACCGAATGCGCGAAAAAACTCGTGAGCGAAGGACCGAAAACAAAGTTAGCCGAAAGTCAATTTTTAAAAAGAAGCAATTTCCATTCAATTAAAAGTAATTAAATGAAGCAGTATTTTGCTTCGTTCATAACGAAACCCTTGAAATATAAAATTTGTAAATTTTGCATGTTTCTGTCGTTTTTACATTCGGCCAATATCAATACTCCAGTCCCCGGAATTGTTTACTCTCTTTTCAAATTTTAGATTACTGAAATCTAATTGGCTGATTTGTATTTTCGCGCAGGCGGTCCTTCGCGCATGAGGGATTCCACCATGATTTCATATCATTCAAACAATTTTGAAGTGGTTATAAACATGTCTCAAGTACCTATTGAGCTATCTCCCCCCCCCCCCCCCTCCCCATTTGAGAAAACCAAGATACAAACCCCTATTTGAGAAAACCAGATAACCTAAGTAAGTTTTTTGAAGGCAGTTCTATAAATGAAACTACACTTTAAATTCAAGCACCATTTCTATTTCGAAGTCCTTTTCGTTGCAGTATAACCTTGCCAATGATAGAAGTCAGAAGACAAACCGCAAAAACCCTAAAAGCGCAAAAAACTGCCTACTAAGTAATAAAACCACCAAAAAGCCAAAACTTTAAAATGAGCGTCAACAAATTAACGTTTACTGCCGAAATGGGACAAGCGACAGAGAAAAACGAACTAAATTATGTCTTCGCTACTATTCAGTAACACTAAATGATACAATCTGTTTTGACTTTTGAGATGAGGAAGAAGGAGAAGAAGACTGACTTCGTTTTTGAGGTGTACGACTGCCCGTTTGGCCACTTTGGATATGGGGTTGAGTGGGGAGTTGAAGACGCACGAGTTGTGGTAGATCCACTCCACGTCTGCCACGAATGCAGTCGTGCTGTAGTACTTCATGTCCTTGCAGTTCTACAACAGAGCCAACATATACTTAGAAAAGAAAATAAGTGTCAATGAGAAAAGAAAATAAGTGTCAATGAACTCTAAGGTGAGCTCTAAATTTTTTCATACCTCTACGACGTTGGCCCATTTGATGAAAAGCTTGACCAAGAAGTTTTTTTTATTCCGCTGGGAAATCCGAAAACTTAAATCCACTTTTGAACACGTTTTTTGACAGAGCGAAATTTGTCTTTCATTCAACAAAATAAGTTAGAGTGAACTTAAAACGAAGCAAATAGTACGCCAAACTGCGAAAAATCATATTCGAGCATCGACAACTTTTGGCAGGTTTTCCAGTAAACAAAACGAAACCAATCAGGTAAGTACATTATCGTTCATTGACACAGACATAGTTACATAACAAATTGAGTCAGAAATGAATTGGCGCCACCTCGAGGTGGCTATTTTTAAGCGCGAAGGACCGAATGCTGCGCGAAAATTATCGCTTTTATTGCTTTTTTTCCTTTGAATTTATCAATACTGAATTATCATTAGCTGACATAACTTTCTCGTTTTGGTCCTTCGTGCATGAGGGATTACCCCATCAAAGATAATCAAACAGGTGTGTGATATAGTGTCCCTTCGGATGGCTGTGGACAGCTATATCGTCGCTTATTTGTAATAATTGCGGGCTGTTCGAATATTAAATAGCGCTACTGGCTATCAAGGATTATTGATTCGTATTCATAATTTATACGTCTCAAGTGGTTAAGATTTATCTTGCTTTTAAGGACGCAGGATTCGGTTCTTAATTTCTGGAATATCGCTAGTCGATCGGGGCAAGTTAGAGCATGATTGGAATATTTTATTCTGTTGTTTTCTATCCGCTTGATATTCAGCTCGGTATAAATCTCCTCTCATTGGTATTAATTACCATCAATATTTACATAGTTGAATAAATATAAACGTGTGAGCTTCATTTCATTAACAAGGTTAATTATGTAATCTATTATAGCATAAGAAAGCATGACATCATGCAGTGATGTCACACTACACCGTAAAAAATCTTCCCGGGTGGTTTAAGTTTTTGTCTGTTTACAATCAGAATAATTTAGTTTAAAAAAATTACAGTCAAATTGACAAAATATATACTGCTGCAAAATATATCAAAATGTTTATCAATCTATCACGTTATCACAAGGAATAATAAATAATCATTGATTTAGAAGCACAGGTTATTACTTCAATTTACATAATGTGAAATAAAATTGAATTGAGTATAAATGGGAAAAAGTTTAAAGGGGACAGAAAGCCACATTGAGTCGGATTAGGGGAGTTGAGTGATAGATGATAAAATCAAGTGTATGATAGCAAAATAGATTCAATTGTCAACTATACCTAAAGTGGACCTAAAGTACTGTAATGTCGTGTAGCTGACTATTCTTGTTCGTCGTTTCGATTCAATTTTTCTTATCGCTGGCTTCGTTCGTTGTTTGGTGCATGCCATTGATTCTGAATATAAATCTTGTTTTGATGAAATGAGGCGCTTTGATTATTTTCTTAGCCTCGTTAAGTGCAATTTTATTTCCAACAACTTAACAGGGATCTGTTTTGTCCAAAAAATCACGATTTGATTTTCCAAGTTGACCACTAAGAAAGCAGTTTGTAATTTGTTTTACATGCTTAAACATTGAACTTTGTCTTTCGAATTGTGTCCGATGTGCTCAGGGATCATCGTTTCTTCTTCTCTTAGGCGTGTTGTGCCTTTGTTGGCCTTACTCCCTGAATGAAAGCGATAGTCTTCCCTTTTTTAAAGTCAGATTTCCACTTTTTTAACGACATTTTTGCTTCTTGGCGACTATCGTCTTTTGTGTTGATTCTGACTTTTGATGTTTTCAATTTGTTTCTTTTGCTGTCACTGCACTTCACTCTTATAGGCTGTTCGAAACCTTTGCTGGTTCGCCTGAGCAAAGCTTAGCGTGAGACAGAATGATAAAAGATGAATTCCGGTTTTTCATCATCAATATTTTTGAAGATTTCTTGTCTGATCGTACCTCCTGAGCTTTGCCAAAGCTGCCTAGTCCCACTCACAGCCTGCCAATGTTGACCCAACATTTCCATTGTATTTTCTCCGGCTAACTTGCGATTTTCTCTTCACATTTCTGCAAAGATATCCCTCGACAGTTGATTTTTCTTGTTGAGCCTATCTTAATTCATGGGAAGTGTGTAGATTGAAGTATGTCTCCAAAGGTCGCACTGCTAGTGGACCCGCTTTTTGCCCTTTCCTCATTGGTGCTTTGATCAATTAGCCCAAAAATTATGAATTTCCGTCGACTCGTTAGAAAAGGAGGAAAAACTTTCTTATTCGTAATACTTAAACATAGGCAACAGGTTGACTTTTCAAGATCTCGCGAAGTTAATGTTTTCTAGTGGACCGCCTTCGTGCCCGTTCCTCATTGATGATTTGATGATCAACAAGCCCAAAAATTTTGAATTTCCGTCGACTCGTTAGACAAGAAAAAACTTTCTTATTCGTAATGCTTAAACATGGGCAACAGGTTGATTTTTCAAGATATCGCGAACTTGATGTCTCCTAGTGGACCGAATTCGTGCTTGTTCGTCATTAGTGATTTGAAGATCAATGAACTTAAAAATTTTGAATTTCCGTCGACTCGTTAGACACAAGGAAAAACTTTTTTATTCGTAATGCTTAAACATGGGCAACAGGTGGATTTTTCGAAATCTTCATGAAGATGTTGCCTCATAGTGGACCCCTTCGTACAGGCGTCCAGATAGGTGATGAAACATGATTAAATTGTGCAAAACAGTTCTTATTCGTACTTAATGAGTATGGTGTCGGTTTTTCGGAGAATTGCGAGGTTGAGAAAATTGATTTCCTCGGAATTTCTTATTTTCTTCGTTTCAAAGTAGTTATTTCTTGGCTTCGATAGCATCAATTGACTGCATTTAGCGCTATCCAATGGCGAGAATGCATGCTGGGACGTTATTAAGCGATAGTATGACTTGTCGTTAAACATGGATGAAGATTTTGATGTTCGTTTTTTCGAAAATATCGCTGATAAGACAGAAAACTCTACTTTCTTTCAATTTATCGAGCCCGCATTCAATTTTTGGTATAACGATATGCCGTAAATCTTTCTGGAGGCGCTGCTGCTCCATGCAATTGAGGCTACGTGGCAAATTGTAGTAGGTTGGCGTTTCCAAAAATTGAGATTTTGTAACTAAGTTGAAAATTGACTTGTGTTTGTTGTTTCAATGTTTTGTAGGGTTTGTCTGATGCAGTGATAGGCACTGCTAATTTGACATGCTACTTCTTTGTTAATGTGAAAGTCACTTGAGACACAGTGCGCTATAGAGCCAGGAAACTGTAAAACATTCCCTGAGCCCACAAAGATATTTGGTTTTTCATAAATTGCGTTTACCGAATCTTTGCTGCTTCCAGGTCCATCTTTTCGTTTAGTCAGTTGTTTCGCTCGCTTCACACTGTCTTTAAAGATATGTTTTGTCGTTTCGCGTGCAGGGATGTGTTCATTTGACTCTGCTTTCTTCCGTGCCTTGGCTTGATTGTCAACCTGAGCTGATTTTTAACTGGGAGGAATTGGGACTACAATGTGTCCATCTATTGTTCTCAATACGTTTTTTCGTGGTTGCTGCTCGCGTGGTGGAATAGGGTGATATCGCATATCGTTGCCAAAATCGCATTTGGCAGTATATCTTGTCTCGCGCGTGGACTGCTGCTTTGCGCTTCGTTCGCGATGGTTCTTGGGCCATGTTATGTCCATCGTTTCCGAGATTAATATTAGTTGGTGCTGCTACCGCTGCATCGTGCCTCGGCGCGTCGTTAATGAATACTTCGTTGGGTTCAAACTCAGGTGGAGCTAATGGTTTTGGATCTGCGTCCGGTGGAAGCGCTGGTGGCGGCAGTGCTGCTATTGGTAAATGTATCAGTGGTAATGGTGCAACCATTGGTGCTGCTGTTGCTGGTATTGGGGCTACTACCAGAGGAATGGACGCTACTGGTAGTCCTCCGAAGGGCATTGATAGTCGGATTCGAGCAAGTGCACCGGGAAGGTTGCTTTGACCACCGTTCTCGGGTTCGATGTCTTCTAGGAGTTTAGGCAAAGAATCGTCGAAGAGTCCTGGTTCACTTCGGTATTTACCAAAAGATGGATCCGTTTCAATTTCGCTTGGGTCAATGGTATCATGATTTTCTGGTCGATACTGTGGATCAACAAGTCTGAGACGAAGTGTACGTCAGTACTGTTCCTTCCGCAGGAGTATTGCCTATAGGCTGGTTATCTCATCAGGTTGAAAAGGTTCGTTCGATGATAATTTAGGTGATATAAATGATTTAGGGGTCTGACTCAGTGTCTTTATTAGTTTTTTGGTTCGTTTGGGAACGGGAAGTTTTGAACGCGACCGTGTTTTCTTTCGCCACCAGCATTGAATTGCTGTGTGGTTAAATTTTCCACAAACTTCACAAAATTTGGCTGATGATCGCACCATTGGTACAAAAGGTCCGTTGTGATTTTGCGTTTCAGCTTGTGGCATTTGATTTGCGACAAATTGTTGCGTCGGATAATTCTGGGCCTGATGGAATTGTGCTGATGGATGCTTCGGTACCATTGGCTGATTTTGTTGGTTCTGGTACATGTTCGGGTACTGCTGATTTTGAGGATACCACTGGGAATATTGCTGTGGTGCAACTCGTGGCATATTTTGAAAGTTTGGCTGAGTATTGTTGGAATCAAATTTGTTTTGCCAATTATTTCTGCGTCTTCTGCCTCTGATGCCTCGTTGTTGTCCATAACCGTTATTTTGGTTTGGCTGATAGCCACTATACTGACCACTCTGACTGCTATTGTTCCGATTCTGTTCGGGAAGCGGATTAGATTATTTCTGCGACTGCTCAGTTATTTGTGATCTCATTTCGCTTGAGCTACTTTTCCATTTGTTCCTGATTTGTGGGCAGGGCAATTTTGTGAGAGCACTTACTAAACTTTCAGAGACTTTGTTGTTTACTTCGTTAAATCCGTCTTCCGGGTAATCTTCTTTTCGGCAAATCTCACGAATTGTGATTTGTTGGTCAGGTTACACAATTCCTGAACTGTAGTTGCAAGTGATTAATCCATCAGCTTTGATCTCAGCCACCCTGGCATTCCCTTAATGAACAGTCGTTTAGTTTGTTCATTCGGTTGTCATTTACAGCTTCTATTTTTTCTTGCCTTTGAGCAGTTTCTCGTTGGAATCATGCTGCTTCTGCTGCAGGTGCTCCCATTATTGCGGGATCAATTGGGGCGACAGCTGGCAAATCTGGCGTTGGATACGCTCGCTGCGGTTTCTTTGTCAAGTTCACGAGGAAATTCTCGGGAGTATCGGTTTTCGGGCCGAATCGAAGTTGGTCTAACTTCAATATGTGAACTTCGTGAAACTGGGGATTGTAAAATGATTCCTGAGAGCTGTGAGACTCGCAGAAAGATTTGCTCGAGTTGCTGGTCATCGTGTCTGATAGAATCGCAGCGCGTTGTCTCGTAGATGTAGTTAAAAGAAATTCGCTTGTTGCGCGTTTAGTATCGCCGCTACTCCGGTGTAGCCTTGAAAGTTGCTCAAATTCTGAAAAGTCTTAACTTGCGCATGTGCCACCGTATTTCAGTTGAATGAATATCAATTTGGTGATAGAGTTGATGATAAGACACAGCACTTATTCAAATTAGGGGAAATACAATGGAGTTCGCTTAAAAAATGAGCTTTTTAAGGGAACTAGCGGTATCACTTCTAGTTGCAAATCAGATCTTGCTGCTTCAATGATAAGGTTGTCCTAAAGGATCCGTTACTTCACTTCTATGGTGGGAAAACTCAATGACAACTATATCAATTTACTGCAGGTTTGAGTTTGGTTTAATTAACTGTTTTTGTTGATTGTTGAAAAACCTGTAGATCTGCTTTCTTTGTCTGCTTTGTCAGTAGCTCAGCTGCCCGACCTACTGACTGGAACAACAAGTAGTGATGTTGCAGGTCACAATCCACATCTCCTTCTATAGATTGAAGAAACTGTCAGCTCAGAGAAGTTGAAAAGTCGTGACTGTCTTCTTTTCCTCCCTGTCTGTCTCAGTTGTTCGCTGAATGTTGCTCTGCTACCCACATCTAAGCATTGCTGGGTGAATCGGCTTGTGTTTCCTTGTTCTGATTCAACAAAATGCGGTTATCGCTGTCCGCTCGTGTGTTGAAGGTTTCAATTGCCGATGACTTTTGGTGAATCCAGAAGTAGACTCTTCCGCGAATGTCACCATGTGATTTAATGCCCCTTCGGATGGCTGTGGACAGCTATATCGTCGCTTATTTGTAATAATTGCGGGCTTTTCGTATATGAATTAGCGCTACTGGCTATCAATGATTATTGATTCGTATTCATAATTTATATGTCTCGAGTGGTTAAGACTTAATTTGCTTTTAAGGACGCAGGATTCGGTTCTCAACTTCTGTAATATCGCTAGTCGATCGGCGCAAGTTAGAGCATGATTGGAATATTCTAATATGTTGTTTTCTATCCGATTGATATTCAGCTCGGTATAAATCTCCTCTCATTGGTATTAATTACCATCAATGTTTACATAGTTAAATAAATATAAATGTGTGAGCTTCATTTCATTAACAAAGTTAATTATGTAATCTATTATAGCATAAGAATGCATGACATCATGCAGTGATGTCACAAGGTGTTTATAGCTCACCTGCTCTAGAGTGGCGAGGTCCATGGGGTTGATGACGAAGTTTGGGTAGGTGGGGAAGTGTTCCAGACTGACTGGGAAGTGGAAGAGGTCGTTGACCTTTGGTCTGCAGTTGGTGATGGCGAACTTCAACATGAGACAAAGTGTCTCCTGGCTGATGTACTCGGGCAGGTTTGTGGGCGAGTCTACACACTCTGCGTCAGATACTTTCTAAAATTGGACAACACACTTTTGGTAGTTTTAACAAACCCAAGGATAAAAAAAAATTTTTTAACAAACCCAAGGATAACATTCGAGTTTCATAGAACAATATGCATCACCTTAAGGCTCGTTGAATTTCATCTATAATATTTTATGGTTGAAACATCATGGAAAAATAGGACAATTTGAGAAATTCGGATCCATAGAGTAAATGTGCACTTGATACTTTTTTGGAATATGTTCAGACTTTGCTACTACCATTTTTTAATGAAAAATTTCCAAACTTTCCTTATTAAGAAATTAGACAACCGCCTATTCATACTCACTCACAGGTACATAGACGAAAAAACTCTTTTTGGTCGAATACAGACAAAACGGAACAAAACTTGAACGCGGAGAAATAATAATTTAATCTATATAGCCAAACGTTAGTTATGGTGATATTAGATAGAAACAGTGATCAGCCACACCTCGACCTGCAATGGCTTGGACCGAACACTGACCGGCGCATAGGGAGTAAAGTACTTTTTCTGCTGAATTTAAACGTTTTAAGTTTTGCTTAATCAGATTTCGTTCATTTTCCTCATCTCGAGTCTGATTGGTTAATACAAAACTTATCGTCTTCTTACCAATCTGTCTACCTACGCGTTTGACTACTTTGTGTATTAATGTACTATAACCAACAACTCTACAAGCAACAAAAGTTGGGGTGTGGCTGATCACTATTTCTTTTTCATACCAGTATCACTAACTTTCGGCTGTTTAGACACTATTTTGTTATTTCTAATTCCAAGTTTTTTTCGCGCTCATTTTTTGTTCCGTTTGCCTAACTTTTGATCATCTGAATTGAGTATTTTGTTAATCACTTTACTGGCGAGTAAAAAATTGTTATAACATAACAGAAAGAAGATTCCGGAATGCGGTAGAAGTCACTCTGCCTAATTTAACGATTTAAATTTTTTTCCCACCATTTGAAAAATGAGGAGGAACTTGGTATTCGGTTGTGTTTTTGATTCGAGTTTGACTGGGTAGTTTTCGATAAAAAGTCACAAAGTTTCCAAAAACCGACCAAAAAACTCAAACAAATTTGACATTTCTACAAAATTGGAGCGTAGCCGTTTACGCCGGAAGGGTTCTCACAACCTGCTTTTTCGATTGAATACCTAATTCGAGATTTGAGAGGGTAGTTTCAGAGAAAATCTTCGAACATTATCCAACTGTCAAAAAACGGCCTTTTTTGAAACCAACAAACTTTTAAAAATAAGACGAAGCGGCTAGCATGGAAGAAATTCTTCCGGGTCTTTTAATTTATTCCGCCCAAATTTCCAATTTTTCGCGATTTTGGAATCTTCAAAGTATAAATGCTGCGAACAACATACTGATAGCATTGGATGATTTGGTTAATACAAGAAAGCCGAATTTTGAGCAGAGGTGGTCATTTTTTAACTGGAGCTCTTTTTTGTGTTTTTCTATTTTGGGTAAAACTCTGGAGACTATTTGAAAAAATGTTGAGTAGATAACCAAACATTCTTCAATTTAGGCCAATTTAGCTTATTTATAATTCAAATTAAAAAGGTGAACAGAAAAATTTGAGATGGAACTGAATTTTGATTGGCTAACTTTAGCCAATCAGATTGAAGTAAAATCAAGTCAGTTCTATAAGGTGAAATATTGATTTTTGGGCGGAATAAGTAAAAAGACTCTAGATCCCTCTGTTTACAGGCAAAACCCTTATCTGTTCTCACCACTGAAATCTTAACTTGAGATTTGGCACGGTAGTCTCTGAGAAAAAAACCAAGAAAATGAGTCAAACACATTCCACGTTGAAGGGTCTTTCCTTTGAAGGTGGAACAAGGTTAAAAAAGGGTAGAGAAGTATGCAGACATACAATGTAACAGCCGATCTTTCATTGGCGCCAAGTTTTTAAAAATCTGCTGAAACAGAACAAACTTATGGAAAATTGCTCTTCAGAAAAAATCTAGTATCACAGAAAGGAGCATCAAACTGGCTAAGCGTGCTACCCTTAAGAAAGTACAATGTTTCCTTCACCAAATCAGAGTTTAAAGATGGTTGACATCTGAGGTATGGATGGGAACCACCAAACACTCCACATACTGACCCACTCTCTACTCAAAGGAGGTGAATACACCTAAGACTTAATGAAATTCGTGAGACATTTGCGACACTCCTCGACGAAGTATGCCATGATGTTGAGATAGAGCCGAAACCTCAATCGTTGGAAAATTCAAACTTAATTTACATTTATGGAAAAAACTACTAAAAATTGCTCTAACAAACAATAAGACATTCGAAGACTCAGAGGACTTGAGCAGCCAGAAGTTTTTATAAATCTAAGTTTTTTTAAACCTTTTGAAAATTCAGCAACAAAAATTTCATATCTCGGAAACTAAAAAAATTCCGGCAAAAAGTCTCATTTCAAGATTTGCAACCGCTGAAAATTGTTTGATAGCAGCCCACTATAGGGTTGAGTCTTTCAAGTTTTGTGAGTTTTTTCGGTAAATGATTTTTGGAAATGTTTGTGAAACCATAAAAATCGGCATATGTCGCAAAACTAAAATGATATGGGCAGTCACATTTGTTAGCTGCATTTGCAGCTCTGAGAACTTACTGATAGCCCACCACTACACTTCTTGAAAAGTAAGCCCTCACAAAATTGCTTGAATCCTTGAAAAAAAGTTTTTGTGAAAGAAAAGGAAAATATAATAAGAAAACGCAATATTTCGGAAACCAAAAGAATTTGAGCAATCCTATTTGGAGGCCGGGTTTGCAACTACTGAGTCTACCCTGACAAATCGCTACCATAAATTTGAGAATATTAAGTTCTATTGTTAGTTTTTGGAATTTTTCTTTTTTCATAAAGTCAAAAAAATTGACATAACTCGATAACTAAAAAAATATTTGGCCAGTAACAATAAATAATCATTTCAGTTTTTGTTCCGACTTTCGATACGAAAGTAACGGAATATTTGTGCTCGGGTGGGTTTTTTTTTTCTTCAGACAAATTTCGCCTTTTTATCTAGCTATTTTTGACGGAATTTTTTAATATCATTCGAAAGGTATTGTTGTCTTGAGCTCAAATTTGAAAAGATATTTCACCTGTGATCATTTTTCGTAAAGTTATGGGGGTTTAAAGAATGCCATTTTGGCTAATTTGGGACAATTAACGCGCGATATATTTCGCGCTATTAACGCGTAAGCGGAGAGTTAATCCGTCTTAGAAATCGCCCTGATACGAGCAGTCTTGTTCATTATTTAGGAGACCCCTCTTTTCCACCCCATTTGAAATACACAGCTCTGAAAAATTACTCTTACCTTGTCATAATGTAATGAAACTTTGCATGTGAACAATTTAACTATTGTGAACACTTTCGTTCTTCATAACTTATCAATTAAGCATTTACTCATATTAAGACGTAGAACAACTAAGAAAATGGAAATTCGAAATGTGGGGGGGGGGGGGGGGGGGGGTGAAAAAGAGGAGCTAATTTTGGGCCGTAAAAAGTGAAAAGACCCATGTAAATTTTGAAAGGTGGGAGTGGGAAAGAGCTTGCATTTTAAGCAAAAATAAGCCGGTCTCACAATGAGATTATATTTGGTAGCCAACCTGATTGGACTAAACTATAGCTATTCCAAACTCATTGGTACGATCGATTGATTGCTATAATTATTGGCATGCTCAAATCGCTTTATTAACTTAAATAAATGTTACTTAAATCCCTCTATCATGTTAATATCAAGCATCGGTGGTTCAGTGGTAGAATTGTCGCCTGCCACGCGATAGACCCGGGTTCGATTCCCGGCCGATGCAAGAGAGTTTTGGGTTTCCTCCGACTTTTCCACTTTCCCACCCAATCTTTCAAAAAATCGAGTTTTATGTTTGTTTTTGGTGTTATTACGGCTAAATGCGTGAAGTTACTATGTAAACTATGAAGAACAAATCTGTTCACAGTTGCTGATTAGTTCACCACGCCAAGATTCCTGCAAAAAGTCACTCATTTTGCAACCGCTGAAAATCGCTTGATAGCAGCCCACTATAGGGTTGAGACTTTCAAGTTTTGTGAGTTTTTTCGGTAAATGATTTTTGGAAATGTTTGTGAAACCATAGAAATCGGAGAACTTACTGATAGCCCACCACTACACTTCTTGAAAAGTAAGCCCTCACAAAATTGCTTGAATCCTTGAAAAAAAGTTTTTGTGAAAAGAAAAGGAAAATATCATAAGAAACCGCAATATTTCGGAAACCAAAAGAATTTGAGCAATCCTATTTGGAAGCCGGGTTTGCAACTACTGAGTCTACCCTGACAAATCACCACCATAAAATTGAGACATTTGGCCTGTCACATTAGGAGGCATGATTTGAGAAAAAATCAAAAAAACGTCCAAGTCTGAAACTAAAAGGGTTTGAGCAGAAAATTTGCAGGTAAGATTAGCAACACCTGATGTTATAGGATTGGGAATTTCAAATTTTATAAAATTTTAAATCTAGGTTTTAAATTTTTTCAACAAAAATTTGTGGACATTCATATTTGGAGGCCGAACTCGCACTTTTTGGCGAACCCGTACGGCAACCCAGTACAACTGAATTTAAAATAATGAAAACAGTAAACACTTTAACAGTTGTAAAAAGTTGGCATTTGAACAGGTCAATATAGAAACTTCTTAAATGTGTCAACAGAAGGCCTGTTAAACAAGATATGAATAGAGGAATCTCACCTTTACTTTGCCCTATACGGCGCTGCCCTCTTCCCCTCCCATGATGGCTTCATGGCTACAGCCTTACAATCGGGCATTACAATTAGTCTAGCTTTCAGAAACCGCAAACTCGAAAAAACAAACATTTTCAGCGTTGCAAAAAACGGTTCAACTTTAACGTGCAAAATATCTTTCACTGAATTTGTAACAAATTATAGCTTGAAAAACTTAAGCAAAGAAATAGTGAAGCCCGTTTTATATCGAAATGAATGATAAAAAAAGGCAAAAGAAAGAAC